TTGCTGAGGCTGGCTTTGAACTCGAGATCCTCCTGCCTCAGCCTCCCGAGCTGCTGGGATTATAGGTGTGTGCCACTGCACCTGGCTAGAATTTCTTATTTTGTTGTTGATGTGTTGGTGAATTCCCCCCGTGAAACAGTATTTTTAATCATTTAATGATTTTTAATAGTTAACCCAAGGGCAGATAATGGAAAAATTAAAACGTGTCCCTTTAATTAAAAAAAAAAATTCTCAAATATTCTAACGTCTATCTTCATTTTTTTGGATTTATATAAACGTATTATAATGGGCTGGAGGTATAGCTCAGTTGGTAGAGTGCTTGCTTTGCAAACACAAGGCCCAGGGTTCAATCTCCAGTAACAACACACACACACAGAGTATTGTAAAATGTATTGCAAATAATACAAATGAAAGATAGGATGTTTAATTCGGAATAGTGTTATGCCTCATGCACTCTTCAAATCTTATTTATCCTGAAGATATTTACCCAGTGTCTCCAGTTATCTCTAGTTGAACCACATAGTGAAAATGCTTCTAGGAAACTCTCACTCAGATCTCATTTACTTCTAATTCAGACATTGCTCACAGGCATTGGGGTTTCCTAGCCTGACGATTAGAAGCAACAAATTAAAAACAAAGATAAAGAGCCACTATACAGAAAGGCTGACAGTTTCAAGAAGTGACAGCTTTTAGTGGAAAGTTGTTATATTAAAAATGGTAAAGGGAAAGCAAACCTATAAAAGCAGGCAAAATTTTAAGAATTATTAGAATTTCTTGTGTTTAGTTCATCATACCCCATGAATATTTGGATCATCCGTTTTATAAATCACAGCATGGTAGTTGATTATGTAGTAAACCTGAGAATTAGTAGTAGTTTTCTTTTTTTTGTGTGTGTGTGTGTGTCCTCATTGAATTCAGGGATTTTTTTTTTTTTTTTTAATATCAATGAGCCATATCTTTAGCCCTTTTTATTTTTTTATACTACGTTAAGGACGCCTCTGGCTCCACATGGTATTAAGAACTTTAATAATTCATCATTTATTGCAGCTGCATCCTTATAGATTAACGTGAGTGGGAGCTAAGTTTATAACACTGAGACACATATCCATAAATTGTCAGATTAGTGATGTTAGAAAATAAAGTTTATTGACTTAATTCTTACATTTTTTGGATATTTCAAGGAGAAATAGTGAAAGTTATTTGTTTCAGGATTCTCACTTTAAAAACAATAGCTGGACATAGTGGTGTATGCCTGTAATTCCAGTGATTTGGGAGACTGAGGCAGGATTGCAAGTTCCAGGCCAGCCTCAGCAATTTGGTGAGGTTCTAAACAACTTAGTGAGACCCTGTCTCAAAATAGAAATAGAAAGGACTGTGAATGTGGCTCAGTGATAAAGTGCCCCTGGGTTTAATCCCTAGTACCAAAACCAAACCAAAACAAAACCTAACAAAAAACAATAAAAGACAAACTGTCATTAGCATATGCAAACTAAATGGAATTAATGCTTACACTTAGAGAAGAATGCCAGGAATCTCCAATCAAAAAGAAATATACAAATTCTGATCTATGAGTTTTATATCTGATATTTATAGTCTGATATTTGAAGTCTTCAAATTTCAGTTTCTTCACCCTTTTTGAAGTGCTTATTTTAAAAGATAGAAGCTGAGCATGGTGGCCCAAGCCTGTGCCCCTTGCCAAGATGGGAGGATCCCTTGAACCCTTAAACTCATGTCAAGACCAACCTAGGCAAAATGTGGAAACCCAGTCTCAAAAAAGAGGTGATGGGCTGGGTGCAATGGCACACACCTCTAATCCCAGCAACTTGGGAAACTGAGGCAGGAGTTTCCTTCCACCTCAGGTTTGAGGCCAGCCTCAGCAATTTAGTGAGACCCTATCTCAAAATAAAAAATAAAAAGGACTGACTGGGGACTTAGCTCTGTGGTAAAGTACCCCTGGTATTTAAAAAAAGGAAATAGGAAAGACATTTATGGGAATAAGATTATGTCTGCTATGCATTACTGAAGTTAAGAAATAATCTTACAGACTTCTTTCATCTTAGTATACTTTTTGTGATGTTTTGGTGTATTGACAATATGATATATATAAATTTATTTTAGTGCCTTAAAGTACTAGTTATGTGGATTAAAAAAACAATGCTTTTATACTCCTGTTAGCACATGTCATATGATTAAATTCCAGAGTGAAATTTAGATATAAAAGTTAATCATTTCCAGTGAAGGGAAATAATGAAATTGATGTTGAATTTGTCTAGTTTTGGGATGATCCTATCTGTGAGAACTATAAATGTTGTTTTCAGAAAGAGAAAAAGACTGTAATATTGACAGTTTTTGTGGCATTCACAGGGCATAGCATATGGTCCAATAAATATTTATTGTAAGAATACCTGGGGCTGGGGATGTAGCTCAGTGGTAGAGTGCTTGCCTGGCATGCATGAGGCCCTGGATTTGATCCTAATAAACACCAGCAAAAGAAAAAGAATACTTGATGATTAAATAAAGTCAAATAATTCTAGTTAGATATCTGCTATTTTGATAACTTAAGCAACTATACTGGTATATACCGATTGATACAATTATGTTGGAAGTTCACTTTTAGTGTGTTTTTGTTTTAGTTTTAGTTTTTGGTACTGGTGATGAAACTCGGGGCCTTGTACTTGCTAGGTGAGCCCTGTATCTCCGGCCCTAATATTGTTAAATATCATTCAAGGAAGATTTGTTTCAGAAGAGTGCTGACATATGAGACTATTTCAGAGCATAAAACAACATTATACTGTAGAGAGGCTTGAAAGTATTTTAGGTATCCTCTGGGTTTGGTTGAAAAGCTCATCATTTCTTCAAAGACACAGATTAAACTACTCTGTCCCAAATAGATAACTGGACAGTTTTCACTAATAGTACAAAGTTATTTATATCATATAAATTGGGCTTAATTTTTTATTGCTTTATGTTTTCTTTAAAAATGATTGCCTGGTAAATGATTCTGTCACTGATGAGTGACATTCATGGGAGAATTCTTGGGGGAAAGTATGATCAAAAGTTGTGCTGCCAGGAAGATTGAGATTTTTTAAGGCACTATGGAAATGCATTGTTGTGATTAAAATGAAAGCCCAAATTCTTAAGGGGAAAAGCTGCTAAATACAAGCAGTCATGATATGTAGAATCTAGTAAACACCATGCTAATTAATAACATCCAGATGTTATTATTTCTTCATTTGTTGTACCAGCCAATTTGGGGCAGAATATGGAATATTTACAACAGTTGAATTTCTGCTACAGTTGAAATGCCACAAAACAACAAAACTTTTCACTTGTATGGAATTGTTTGTTGTTTAGTAGCAAGTGTGTGTTGGATAAAGTATCCAAATATAAGATTTATTTATTTTTTGGTGCTGGGAGTTGAACCCAGAGCCTTGAATGTGCTAGTAAACACTTGCTACATCACTGAGCTATACCTGCAATCCTGAATATGACACTTTTATGTGGCATGAATTCATATGTGTGTGTGTGTGTGTGTGTGTATCTTGTGTTTCCTATCACACCACTGTATTCATTAGTATCTTTGAGTTGCTACTTCATGACAGATATCTTGGAGTAAAAGAACTGTTTAGAACTGTTGTGAAAAAGTGATGGTTTAACATAGCCTTAGTTATGTCATGGTGTAAATTAATCTCTTGAATGAAAGTACCTAGATTTTCCAGATGCTCAGGCATGAATTTAGCTCAGAATAAATTGTTCTGCTGTGTTAGAGACATCGTTCAAACCTGCATGCATCTGCCAACTGCATGTGGTTGTCACAGTGAGACAAATTGATCTGTCATTTTCTCTAGTGTGTCCCTGTTGCTTGCCATATTGTAACCTATAGGACATCTCTTGGGCAGCTTGTGTGCCCTGATTCCACTTCAACAGTCTTGTAAAGATGCCAGGGAACATCAAGTTGAATTTTTAAAAGCCAATTTAAATATTTAAACGTACAACTAACTTCAGTAAAATTTCTCCCATATCTAACAAACTGCTTGCTGGAGGTGAGATGGACTTTTGAATTTATGGTTCCCTACGTATTTGTTGTGACCTTATATTGACAAGTTATTGATCTCTCTGTGCCTCCTTTCTGTATTAGGAAAGTGAGGATTGTCAAAGTAATTGTTTTGTAAAGGAGCTGTTGTATGAATTTAGATAATTTTATATGTGTATATGTGTGCATATACATATATATTTAAATAAAGTGCATAGAAGACTGCCTGACACTTAATAAACATTAGCTGCCACTGTCATTATCCTACCATAATTTGAGTAATAATTGGGTAATTATTCTGAAGCTAGAGAGCTCTTTGTAGGAAGATTGCATCTCTCTGAAGGATGTGGTTAACTCCAATTTTAATATAGGAGCTCACCATATTGCCTTGTGAAATCTACCTTTCAATTTATTTACAGCTAATATTATATAACCACTGCAAGGGGATGAAGAAACTCACTAAGTAAAAGAAGCAAGGGACCAATAATGCGTAAATCCTGCCATTTGTAAAAATTTCTTGGTACATGTATAAAATATCTGAAAGGCTGAACAAGAAACAGTGTGCAGTATTTTTCATTTGTTATTGGGAAGGGGAATTGGTTGGATGGAAATAAGGGTGGGAGACTTTATTGTATTCTCTTTTATACTCCTTGGTTACTGAACCATGTAAATGTATTTCCTAATTACCAAAAGAAGAAAACAAAATTAAAAAGTAATATAGCTGTTTTGAAATTTAGATGAATTCTTATGGATAAACATTTCTTTTTGCCTGTATTCAAATTTAAGAGGACTTTTAAATTTTTTGGTTACATTTTTTTTTTCTTTCTGTTTGTGGTGCTGGGGATCAAACCTAGTATCTCCTGTATGCTAGGCAGGCTCTCTACCACTGAGTTATATTCCCAGTGCTCATTGGTTTTTTTAAGTCTACTTTCCAAAAAACTAAGAGTGATATTTTGTCGTCTTTCAGGGATTTGAGCCATAATCGGTTATCTGACTGGAACATCAGCTTGGAATCGCAAACTTTACAGGAAGTGTAAGTTTTGTTTTTTTTTTTAATTTAATGTTAAATTCTTTGAGGGGATATAATAAAATTTGAATTTAGGATATCTAATCCAGTGATACTTCCAAAAAATTGAATGAAAAAAAAATTTTTAATTAAAAGAAATTGTTAGAAAACCTAAACTGTTGTATTTGACTTTGTTATTATCACACTCTCTGGGCATTGAGTTGGTGATTTCGAGTTGCAAATTGTATAGAAATATTATTCTACTTCCCTGGGGTCCAAAGCAAGATTTTTCTCCTCTTCAGTGTAAATTTTATCTTTTTTCTTTTTGGCTAAGAGTTTAGCCAGTGAAACTGTGAAGTTTTCTTTTTTTTTCTTTTTTGTGTTTATTTTTTAGTTGTAGTTGGACACAATACCTTTATTTTACTTATTTATTTTTATATGGTGCTAAGGATTGACCCTAGGGCCCTGCGTATGCTATGTGAGTGGTCTACCGCTAAGCCACAACCCCAGCCCCTGCTATGTGAAGTTTTATAATATCTCAATATATCATGTGAGATGGAAGCAGCAGGTAGAGGATTTGGGGTATTATTTGAGAATATAGTGGTTGATATCATTTGATTTTCCTTTTTTTTTTTTTTTTGTGGTGCTGGGAATTGAACCAAGGGCTTTGTGCATGCTAGGCTAGTGCTCTACCACTGAGCTATACCCTAGCCCTTAATTTCCTTCTTAACTGATGTTTTTCCTTTGATGAAATGTATCATTTTGGGCATTTTTTAAAAAAATATGAGTACTGGTTATTGCATTTTGATGTTCCCAGGGGTCAACTATTGAGGTATGTAGGCCTGTTCACCCCTGTGCTAAATACTATGTTATATACTAAGCTAAATACCCTCAGACACCCTTAGTTTTGTTTCTTTTTTGTTTTTTGGTACCAGGGATTAAACCCAGGGGTGCTTAACTGTGTCACATCCCCAGCCCTTTTTATGTTTTATTTTGAGACAAGGTCTCACTAAGTTGCTTAGGACCTTGCTAAATTGATGAGGCTGGTTTTGAACTCATGACCCTCCTGCCTCAGCCTTGAGTCACTGGGATTATAGGTGTGCACCTCCACACGTGGCCTTAGCTTTGTTTTTTTGTCTTTAAATTCTTCATACTCTAGTGTCCCATGCCAGAGCAAACTGTGACCCTGAATCATTGCCTGGCCTCTGTGTCTATAGGCTGCTGGCACTGAAGCAGATTGCATTGTGGGGGAAAATGTTTCCTCATAGACAGGGCTAACTTCTTTATGCTCTGTTTTTTTTTTTTTTTTTTTTCCCCCCCCTTGGTTCTAGGGTTTGAACTAGGGTCAATCAACCACTGAGCCACATCCCGGCCCTATTTTGTATTATATTATATTTAGAGCTAGGGTCTCACTGAGTTGTTTAGCGCCTTGCCATTGCTGAGGCTGGCTTTGAACTCGTGGTCCTCCTGTCTCAGCCTCCCGAGCTGCTGGGATTACAAGCTTGTGCCACTTCGCTCGGCCATGAATTGTTTTTCCTGCATTGTTTTCTCCCTTGTCCCAAATATGCTGTTTCTAATTTGTTGTGATATTGAGTAAAGATTTGACAAGTTTGTTAGCTGAAAATATGCATTGAGGAAAGCCAGGAATCACTTTATTGGGAAGTGCATGAGCTTTATGCATGGACTTTATAACTTCATTTGGTTTCTTGTTTACTTCTGATTTCTTTTCTATATTCTATATTGTTGAGGTTGTTCAATGATTGAAAACCAGGTTAATGAAATCTGATTGTATTAAATTTGTTCCTAAAACATTTGAGACAATCAGTTGAAAGAGCTGCTGGGAATGATGTTACATGTCATGTCGTGTAAAATTAGTCATAGGTTCCATCATTGGTTGGACAAATTAATTTCATCTGTGGTCCTAAGCAATACTCCTTAACTTGAATAGCCTTAAATTTTGACTGTCATAAATGCAAAGAACTTTGCTGGTACTGAAAATGTTTAATGTGCAAAAAATTTTTCCCAGCCTTTCTTACATTGGTACCAATACTAAATCAACACTATGAAAAAAGTCCCTGCCCCTGCCATGTTGGGTATTGAATCCAGGGTCTAGCACATACTGTGCAAGTGGTCTACTTTTGAGCTATATCCCTAGCCCTGAAAAAAGCATTTCTTATTAAAATCTTTAATTTCTCAACAAATAGATTTTATCTTAGTCTAACTCATTATAAGTTATAGGCTTTTTCAAATTTGGTGTCTTTACTAATTTGTATTAGTAAAGAATTCAAGAGATTGCATTTCCCTTGTTAAACTTTGAAATCTCTCTTTCCCCTTGCTTAGGAAAATGAATTACAATGAGCTAACAGAAATCCCATATTTTGGAGAACCAACATCTAATATCACTCTACTTTCATTGTAAGTAATTAAAATTTTAAATCTTTTACTTAAATTATGAATAGTACATAGCTTTTTGGGGGTGGATCATTGGCAGTAACTTCAATGTAATTTTTGTTTTGTAGAGTTCATAATTTAATCCCAGAAATAAATGCAGAGGCTCTCCAGTTTTACCCTGCTCTTGAGAGTTTAGACCTCAGCTCCAATATAATATCAGAAATCAAGGCATCTTCATTTCCTCGAATGCAACTTAAATACCTGTAAGTAAAATAGAGTTTAAATCAGATTTGTGGTAGATTGCATTTAAGAAAAATTTTTATTTTTTAGTTGTAGTTGGACACAATACCTTTTTTAAATTTATTTATTTTTATGTGGTGCTGAGGATTGAACCCAGGGCCTTGTACATGAGCGCTCTACTGCTGAGCCACAACCCCAGTCCCTTAGATTGCATTTTAACTGTTTATTGGTATCTATCTTCCTTAAATGTCTGTTATTCATTGTAATTTTCTATTTTAATTTTGTGACAGGGTCTCACTAAGGGGCTGAGGCTATCCTTTGAACTTGTAGTCTTCCTGCCTCAGACTCTGGAGTCACTAGGATTACAGGGACGTGCTACTGGCTTATTATTTTGGTATATGTGAAACAAAGCTCACGTTGGGTGTTTGGGGTTGTTGGTGTTGTCACCCCCCCCACCCGCACCCCAGACGAAGAGACACTGTGGTCAGAAAATATTGGTAGGCATCCAGGGTAATTTTTGAGATATATACTTCTTGAATTTTTTTTTTTGAAGTCAATAGTTTTGTAAAAGGTAAATAGAAAGTAGTTTGTTTAACAGCTTACCCTATATAATGATGATTGTATCTATATCATTGATTTCATTTACAAAGCATATTCACACACACTACTTCATGCCAACCTAAATGAAGTAGGAGTGATGTGTATGTGTGTGTTTGTGTGTATGTATGTATTGCTGGTGTTGTAACCCAGGGTCTTGCACATGCTAGGCAGGTGCTCTGCCACTGAACTACACCCCAACCCTGTCATAATAATTTTGTAGATAAAGAATAAAGCATTTAATTGATTTGTAAAGTTTGTATATAATTAAATGATACAGCTGGACTCAATCGTAGTCTTTGGTCAGCTTTCCAGTGGTAGAATTTTTATTTAATTTTTTTCTTTTGCTGTTGTCTTGCTCATTTTAGGAATTTGAGTAATAATAGGATAACTACTTTGGAGGCTGGTTGCTTTGATAATTTATCCAGTTCCTTATTAGTGGTAAAGTTGAACCGGAACCGACTTAGTATGATTCCACCTAAGATCTTCAAGCTACCTCACCTTCAATTCCTGTGAGTAACTAAGTGGATCGGTTGTCAGAAGATAATTTTTCCTTAGTGTTTTTTCTTTTTTGACTATTGTTAGAGCAATTCAGCAAACCAATTTTCTAACTGTAAAACTTTTTTTATTTAAGGGAACTTAAAAGAAACAGGATTAAAATTGTGGAAGGTCTTACATTCCAAGGGCTTGACTCCTTAAGATCTTTGAAAATGCAGCGGAATGGAATTAGCAAACTTAAGGATGGAGCATTTTTTGGTTTGAATAATATGGAAGAATTGTAAGTACTGAGAATTAGTAGAGAGGATTTTAAGGAAAGGAGTCTTTCTGGGACTTTTTTGTACCAAATGGTTAAGATAGTTGTTTTGGGCTGGGGACGTGACTCAATGGTCAAGGGCCCCTGAGTTCAATCCTCAGTACCAATAAATAAATAAATAGATAGATAGATAAATAAATAAATAAATAAATTTGCTTTAATTATACAGTAATTAGTAATTTCTCAAATTAGTAATTTCTCAGTTCTTTGATGAAATAAGTATACTTAAAGCTCTGTATGTCTGTGTGTTGGGGATTGAACCCAGGGTCTCACACATGCTAAATACACACTCAATCACTGAGCTGCACCCTCAGCTTTCACACAAAGCTTTTTATTGGGAGGTGGGCAGGGATTGAACTTGGGGGCACTCAACCACTTAGCCACATCCCCAGCCCTATTTTGTATTTTATTTAGAGATACGGTCTTACTGAGTTGCTTAGCCGAGGCTGGCTTTGAACTCGCAAATCTCCTGCCTCAGCCTCCTGAGTGCACCGCTGTGCCCAGCCACACAAAGCTTTTAAGTTTTGTAGGCTTACTGGCATTTTTGTCATCATTCTTACAAACTTCTTATGTAAAAAGTTTGTATTCCCAAATTCTTTGAGGAAAATTATCGGAATTCATCTGTGAAAGCACGATCAAGGCTTGCCCTAGGAGAAAATGCCCGTTTATGAGGCAGCTCTGCAAATTTTAGAGCAGGGGGTGGTCTGACTGTTGAAACAGTTTAATGGTTTTGGCAGCTGGCATGGGGTGCTTTCTGATTGGTGGGTAAGGATCATGTGAGTCAGCAGGACTCACCATTGGACGGCTCTTCTTGGGGGATGGGGAGGTTAGTCTTTGGAGCCCAGGGACTCCCAACAATCTGGAATACAAGTATTATACCACTTAGCTTGTTGGTTTTGTAGATTTGATATTTTAGACAATCTTAATACGTTCTAGCACTGAATCTTAAGATAATATTTATTGAATAGGATTTATTGTATCACTTGGGTTGAGCAAAGGTATATGTTTTTCTGAGAAAGACTTACTGAAGATTTAAAACTATACTTCTATTGACATGCTTTGTTTTGAAATATTCTCTTTTCTCTAATTCTGCAGAGAACTAGAACACAATAATCTTACACGAGTGAACAAGGGGTGGTTGTATGGCTTACGAATGTTACAGCAGCTGTATGTGAGCCAGAACGCTATTGAAAGAATCAGCCCTGATGCATGGGAGTTCTGCCAAAGACTATCTGAACTGTAAGTGTTGGATGGTATTTTTTTTGGAGGCTGTGAGACTAGAATAGTTGGAATAAATCATTTCCATGGCCAGTAATGAGATCTAACAAACATTCTTTGTTGAAAACTCTAAATTTACCATGTAAATATAGTAAGAATTTGTAAGTTGAACCAAAATACAATGAATTCCTTACCTTCTACGTTTCCTGTTTTTAGTGATTTGTCTTATAATCAGCTGACTCGCCTGGATGAATCTGCCTTTGTGGGTCTGAGTTTACTGGAGAGATTGAATTTAGGAGATAACAGAGTCACTCACATTGCTGATGGTGTGTTTAGGTTTCTTTCCAATCTTCAGACACTGTAAGTTTATCCATTCTTGTTTAAAATGAAATAAAGCAAGTTAATTCAGTCCACTAATCAGGGGATCTATTTATGTATGTTATATTTTTATATTTTGTCCTTCCCTCAGCCCATGATAGGAATAATAATCTTATTTGTCTTGGTATCCATAGATAAAACTTTTCCTATCATGAGAAGTTCATTTTATATTTTAATTCTGAGTTAACACATAAATAGTAAAGCCTGTCTTATAGAACCAGTTGCTGTGTTATAAAACATAGTTGCTGGGGTCAAGAATGCAGTCATTTTCTTGTTTCTCTGACTTTGGCTGTATATCAGTTCTCATTCTGAGAAATGCAGGATGTATAGTGGGAGCAGTTCTTTTTGTTCTGTTACTAGTTTGTTGCATGACTTTCGGCAGAAGAAACTAACAATTATTATCTGTAAGTACCAGGAACTTTCAGATACTAGGTTGTTACTGTTCTTTTCCATATTAGGTGGCTGAGGACTGAGAGATGAAAATGATTTGTTTAAAGTCATATAATTTATAAACGTTTGGATCAGGATTAGAACCCAGGTCTTGACATAAAAGCTCATGTATTTTATTATGAAATGAACAAAATCACTTAGCTTTTCCTGGGTATGTTTTTGTTTCTTTCTTCATATATGAAAGAAGAATTTAGAATTAAGTGGTTGCTAAAGGCAGTTTCAACCTGAAAATCCTGTGGTTCTGTAAGTTAAATGTTTTGCCTTCATGGAATATAATTTTATTGAATGAAGAGGTATTTTAATGAAATATAGCATTCTCAAGACATACAGTAGAATAAGAGAAAACAGAGTAATTAGTAGAATTTATAGATTAAGAAAAAAAATTTTTTAGGGGATATGGGGATTGAATTCAGGGCCTCTCACATGCTAGGCAAACACTCTACCACTGAGCTACATCCCCAGGTCTTTGTCTTGCATTTTGAGACAGAGGTCTCAATAAGTTGCCCAGCTGGCTTCCCACTTAACAATCCTCCTCCCTCAGCCTCACAAGTAGCTGGGATTACAGGTGTGGGCCTCCACACTCTACAGAGTTTGTAGATTGTTAATAGTTTTTGAATAGGGGACTTTATGGTCAGTAGTTTCACCATTGAGGATTTCAGAAAAGAAGTAGACTCACATCTGTGAGACCTAGCCAACAATGAGAAGGAAACATGATAATTTTGTGAAGATGTTTGTATACATGCACAGGTGTGTATGTGTTTGTGTGTGTGTGTGTATATATATATATATATATATATATCAAAAGCGATTAAAGATAAATATATTTTTTTTCAGAGAGAGAGAGAGAAAATTTTTTAATATTTATTTTTTTTTTTAGTTTTCGGCGGACATAACATCTTTATTTGTATGTGGTGCTGAGGATCGAACCCAGCGCCACATGCATGCCAGGCAAGCGCGCTACCGCTTGAGCCACATCCCCAGCCCAATATATATATATATATTTTAACTTTGTTCAGAATTGTCCTTGAAAAGTAAAAAATTAATTTCCTTTTATACTCCTTTTTTCTGTATTATCAGAGGTGAAACTAGATTAGTGCAAATTCAGAAATTTATATCAGATGCAGTTGCAGCTTTTTGATAATTCAAAGGATGGCAAACAGATTGTTTCAGTCTACTGCTGATGATTACTTTTAGATTTAAAGTTTAGGGGCTAGGTGCAGTGTTGCATGCCTGTAATCCTTGTTTCTCAGGAGGCTGAGGCAGGAGGATCGTGAGTTCAAAGCCAGCCTTAGCAATTTAGCAAGGGCCTAAGCAACTCAGCAAGACCCTGGTTCTAAATAAAGTATAAAAAAGGGCTAGGGCTGTGGCTCAGTGGTTAAGTGCCCCTGGGTAGCCCCAAATTAAAGTTTAAGAAAGTAATTGAGGAAGTACGTGGTTGTCTAATGCCTCACAGAGATAGTTATGGCAGAATGAAGGATCAAATCTGAGAAACTCTGGCTTTTAGCCCAATGCTTTTGAAAGAGTAGGTATAGGACTGGGATTGTGGCTCAGCGGTAGAGCACCTGCCTAGCATGGGCGGGACCTGGGTTCGATCCTCAGCACCACATAAAAATAAAGGCATTGTGTTGTGTCCATCTACACCAAAAAATAAATATTAAAAAAAAAGAGTAGGTATATTTGTTACTCAATTTTGTGCATGATTTCTCTTAATTGTGGAGAGGGTAAAGTCCTACCTGAGGAGTAGAGCCACTGGTGCTTTCAGTGTTTACTCCTTAGTAAAATAAAATGAACTCTGTTAGCATTTCATTTTAAGTAAAGATGGGTAACCAAGAAAAGGGATCTACTACCTCCTTATTGTTATTCATACAGCTTTATGTCTTACAAAGCAGAAAGCTTTGTGCTTTATTTTTATTATAAAATGGCCTAGGGAAGCAAAAGTGATTAAATATTTTAAACTGATATTTCTTTTATCAGCACATGATGTGGTATAATTGCATCTCCCAGCTGAGAATGGAGCAGTAGATTTTAAAAGATCCATAGTTGTTTGTTTTTTTTTTTTTTTCTAAAAAAAAAAAAAATAGTGATTCTTCTACACACAGGTATATCATTCTTGGTTCCCAGAGGGTGTGCTTAATTGCTCTTGAGCTGTAAAGCTCTATATTGATATTATTCTTTGTCAGCCATTTCAAGTTTAAGGGCCCAGGGAAAGCCTTGGGTCACCCAGAAATCCCATTATTCTGAATCATATCCCTTGTATCTTGAAACTCTCCTTCTTTGGCAGGAACCTATCCATAATTTTTTTTTTTTTAGTTGTCAATGGACCTTTATTTTATTTATTCATATGTGGTGCTGAGAGTCGAACCCAGGGCCTCACATGTGCTAGGCAAGTGCTCTGCCACTGAGCCACAGTCTCAGCCCTATAATTTTAAATGTGTTAACAAAATTAGATACTGTTAGCTAGGAAGATTAGTGCTATTAGCAGGATGCCCAGCTTAATTCTTAGCTTATGAGAATCAGGTATTGCATGTTTATACAGATACACCTTTAAAGTATAATTGGGTCTTCATTATAAATAACTGTTAAAATAAGGATCAGAATTAGCACATGTACCTTAACATTGTCTTGCTAGGATCCCGCTCAATGGCATGATGACCGTGTGGACTAACATAACTTGTATTTTCCTGAAAATTTTCTAGAGACTTAAGAAACAATGAAATTTCATGGGCCATAGAAGATGCTAGTGAAGCCTTTGCTGGACTCACAAGTCTTACTAAATTGTATGTATTTATATAAAAGTGTCTTTTCAAGAACCAGTTGTAAATGTGATTGGATTTTGATATGGTCAGAAATTCTGAACCTTCTGGCCCCTCTGCTAATGAAAGGAGCTTTGTTATTTATCAAGTAGTTTTTTTTTTTTTTAGGCTGCCAAAATTTTATTCAGATATTAAAGCATTTTGAGTAATAACTTATCCCACATCTCATTAAAAAGGGATATGGAGCTACATTTTTTTTTATTAGTTGCTCAAGATAATACAATGATCTTGACATATCATACATTTGATTCAAATAGGGTATGAATTCTCATTTTTCCACGTGTACAGATTGCAGGATCACATTGGTCAAGTAGTTTGTTTTTAATGGGGCAGTTTTTGTTAGCAAAGCATTCCTATGAGCACTTAGAGAAGTTACTTATAGAACTTGAATTTCTATTCAAGTAAAAGAGATCACTGAGAAACTATAGTTGAACAGGAAGTGTGTTTAATCAAGTGAAATTTTTATAAGTTAATTCATCTAGAAGAAGGAAAGAAGATTCTCTCATGTTGATTTTAGATCTTCCATGAGAAGAGTTTCTCCAAATGTTTACACTGGCTTAATTTCTTTGGCCTGATGATCTTTTGTTAAAGAGTGAGAAATGGGAAATTTAACCTATTTAATCATAAGAAAACTGCCAGTTTCTTAGTGGCCAGGATGGTTGTTCAGAAGTATTTCATTGAACTCCAGCATCTTAATAATAGAAGCTTGGATTGATTAATAAGTTCATAAGTTCTTAAAAATGCTTGTTCTAATCAAATTCTACACTCTGAATATGTGCAGTTTTTTGTTTATCAATTATACTTCAATAAAGCTGTTAAAATATTTAAAAAATGCATATTAAGTTTATTTTCACCTTTTAAAGGTAAATGTCTAATGAATATAATTTTATTTCAGAATCTTACAAGGAAATCAGATTAAGTCAATTACAAAGAAAGCATTCGTTGGTCTTGAATCCCTTGAGCATTTGTAAGTTTTGCATAATTTACTCACTATATACATAATCTTCACTGTTAGTAGAGACTGTCACAAGCATTTAAAGTATTTATATAAGCCTAGTGTGGTGGTATACACCTGTAATACCTGTGATTTAGGAGGTGGAAGCAGAGAGGCTCACAAGTTCCAGGCTATCAGTAGTAAAACTCTGTTTCAAATAAAAATGAAGGGCTGGGGGCCATAGTTCGGTGGTAAAACATCTCTGGATTTAACCCTCAGTACAAAAAGAAAAACAACAACAACAATAACAACAACAAAAAGTCAAGTGTTTATGTAACTTAATTGTAGAAATGTGACTGGCAATGTTTCATTTCTCTTCATTTCAGAGATTTGAACAACAATGCTATAATGTCTATCCAAGAAAATGCTTTTTCTCAGACTCACTTGAAAGAACTGTAAGTAACTTAAGTGTTTTCTTTTATAAATTTTAAAAAATCACCAGATTACTATCCATGCTTGTGCTTTTTTTTTTTTTTTTTAATGCTTGTGCTTTGAAGTGTGATGAAGGTGACCCAAATGTTTCCAAAAGTGTGCCATTCAGGCAGGAAAAAGAAAGTGTAATACTCGATTATTTTAGTGCCTACCTGTAATTTAAAAATAATCAGTGCAAAGTTCAGAATGTGTGACACTAAGACCTTCTCTTTTTGCTTGTGCTCATAATTAGGAAATCTTAGCACTGCTCGCTTTGCTTTATGTATGTGTCCTACTGTTTTTTTTCCTTCAGTTTTTGACTACCAGAAGCATGTTTCCCAATTCTTATCCTTTGGGTGTGTTAAAATTAAGGAATCAATGTGATTTTGTCCTTTAATTTGTGAGTTGAACTAAGCTTTTGTTGTAATTGTCAGAAAGGATGTCTTTACTCTGTTCAAATTACTAAAATGTTCAAATACTATTAATAGTTGCAATAGAAAAATTTATTTTTATATTCTTTTTCATTCATGATTTCTTTTATTGGTTTAGAGATTTCCTGGGGGTGGGGATGGCTAGTTGGGCATTAGTATTAATTATGATCTCTGATGATTTGAATATGCAGCCAGATGTCAGAACCACTGGACTCTAGCCATTTATTTTGCCTTGTCTGGAAGCTACACATAGGATTGTCTGGGTACCAGAACTGATTCATAATAAGATAATGATAGAAATTCAAAGTAAGCTTTTATGAAACTTAGAATAATTTGACATTACTGAGACACTTTTGTTGTAGTTTATGTAATTATTGGTTTATAGTGGACTGGGAATTTTGAAAAGCGGTTCTGGACACAATTTGAGATAAAATGGAAACATGTGAGTTTTTGTACTTTATGGGTTCAAATTCTTGCCGTATTCTTTACAGCCTATGACAGTGGGCATATATTGTCCAGCCTGAGACTCAGTGTCTCTTCTCAAAATGGAAATAGCACTTCCCTCAGGGTTATATGAAAATAAAATGAGATAATTTGTTTAGTAAAATTTTCTTTATCTACTGTGTAAGGTACTGTTCTGGATGCTGAAAGCATAATAATAAACAAAGCGAAGTATTCTTATATAAATTTTACTAAGAAAGATAAATAATAAATCAGTAGATGGAGAATATCCCATCAGGTAATAAATTTTTCTTAAGAAAAATAAAACCAGGTTAGAGGTGTGGGGATTGACAGGGATTACTATTTTAGATAAAGTAGTGAGAGGAGTCTCTTGTGAAAATTCAGCATTTGAACATGGATCTTAATGAAATGAAGCAGCAAAACATGTAAATATTGAATGAAGGGCTTTCTGGGCAGGGAGGAATAAATGAAATGGGGTCAAAGAGAAAAGCAGGAGCCAGATCATGTGGGTCCTAATAGGCTATGAGGAATGAGGATTTTTCTTTTTTCTAAATGCCTGAGGAAACTTTGAAGGTTTTTGAGAAAATGCTGAGCATAAAGTCTGGCACATAAGAAAAGTTGAATAGGTAATATTAACCATAAAAATTTAAATATTATGGAAATCATTTTCTGTTAGATTAAAAAAAAGTTTTTTGGGGTAGTGGAATATCTTGATATTTTCAATTATTTTTCCTAGCCTTAGTTAACTTGTTAGGACACAGCTTACTGCAAATAACTTTTATCTCTGTTTTGAATGCCGGTAAGAAAAGTTTGACAATTGTTATAAGAACCCAATTTAAGAAATAATTTCGATAGTAGCTGAAAGCAAATATTGTAGTTTCAATCTTCAGAGTTTCATTTAGTAATTTAGAGTTGTCATAAAGATTTTGCTCGACCAAACTTTAGTCAGGTTCTTCAATCTCATAGGATTGTGTACTTTTATGTAAAATCAGTTTTACCAGTTGCTAAACCAGTTTAGCAGTAACCTGTCCAGTAACGTGGTTAACCTAGGGTACCCTTGATAGCTGATCAGGTTTCTCAGGTTTTTTGTTCTAAATCATTTCCCAGATGATGTCTGATTGCCCTGGCCTGTCTTCAGCAAGAATCCTGTTAGGTTGGTTTAGCCAAAAATCCCCTTCCCCCTTCTTCTCCTTCTACTTCTTCTAGTTCCCCACCCTTTCTCTATACTTCTTAATAATTTTCCATTTACTGACCCCATCTACTTCTTGGCTATAAAATCCCCGGTTGCCCATGCTTCTTTACAGTTGAACCTAGTTATCTCTCCCTCTTTGCAAAATCCTGCTGCATTATTCTCTATACCTATCGAGATGGTCTTGAATATCAAGTCTGCTTTACCATGATGCTTTAACAAGTATCATTGAGTAACTTTTTCTTTAACAGTTTTGGTGCTGTGGCTCGGATAGGATCAGATTCATCATTGGACCCCCGGACCTCTCACCCAGGACCCCAAGTGTACTCCTTGAAGCCTTTGTTTTCATTCCTGACTGATTGATCGGGGATCCAATGGTGAGTCAGACTGGTCAACCATTGCTCCGGACAAATGTCCGTTGAAGCTGGTAAGGAGAGATTTTGATTCTTAAGAGTCTGATACTTTAGGAAGCTGGGATGAATGCCAGACTTCTTTTGAATGGTATCTGCTAGACTGGAAGGTCTTCTTTCTGGCTGTCTTTCCCTTGGGTATTATTCCCTTGCTGCCTGGGCTGGAAATCCTTCCTGGCACTCTGAGAGGTCTCTCTGTTCCCCCTATTGGATTCAGTCTGTCCTATGTGAACCTTTCTGTCACCTGACTTACTTCTTGAATCCTCTGCCGATTATGTGCTCTGCTAATTCTGTCTACCTCCTTCTTGTTGGAACTTCATTGGCCTCTTTGGGAAGCTTAAGAGCTCCTCTAAAATTCTCACTTCTCATTGCTGTTGTTCTCCTTTCTCTTTAACCACCTTTAATTTTCTCTCCATTTCCCTAGAGTCATTTGATAGGCTCCCCTGCAAATCCCTACTTCCTATATCCTTCAGTCCACTTCTGTTAGACCTTTTCTTTCCCACGGTCCCACGGTAGCCTCTCAATCACTTGAACTCTGCCTTCCTGTCCTCCATTGGGGGCTCTCAAGGGATTAGAGACCATAGAAATAGCCTCTTGAGGCTGAAAACAAAAATGGCTGAATGAAAATAGAATAAATATTTTATTTATACTCAGATGGGCTTTAGAGATACTCTGATAGTCCCTAGATATCTCTTTAGCCGACATAAGATCATGTATCAAGCAAAAGAAAATCTTAAATGTCTCCTTCACAAATATAACAATTCCCCTCATCTACAAGGGATATGTCCCAAGACCCACAGTGGATGCTTGAAATGAGGATTATACCAAACCTATCTATACTGTACTGTTTCTTATATGTCTTGCAACATTGTCACATAGTACCAGAGTTTGTCTGTCCTTCCATGTTTATGACCTGGTGCCTCCTTTGCATCGTTATTCTTGTGCTCTGAGACATTATCAAGTAATATAGGGATTACTTGAACACAAGTACCATGATAACACAGTTGATATGATAACTTAAGATGACTACTAAGTGGATAGCATATACAGTGTGGATACACTACACAAAGGGATGATTCATGTCCTGGTTGGAACAATGGGAGATTTTATCATGCTATGCACAATGGCACAGAATTTAAAATTCATGAATTGTTTCTTTCTGGATTTTTCTATGTAATATTTTTGACTATGGGTAACAAACTGGAAAGTAAAACCATAGATAAGAAGGTGGACTACTGTATTGGTAAACAGGTGATTTTTATCCATTTTTGTCAGAAACGTAACTTAGTGGGTTTTCTTTTTTTGATGCTGGGAATTGAACCTAGGGCCTTCTGCATGCTGAGCATGAGCTCTGCCACTGAGCTTTACTCCTGGCCTGTGTTTTGTTTTTTAATTTTTTTTTTTTTTTTTTTTTTTTTACAATGCCAGAGATCAAACGCAGGGCCTCCTCATCTAAGCAAGGAGCTATGTCCACAGCCCTGTACAATATTTTTAATGCTTGCCTTTATCAGCAAAAAAGATAATGAAGATGATAGACTAGCTTTATTTAATGTCTCATGAAATTTTTACGAACAGTTGAAGCATAATTGTTAAGTAAATTAAGTAGATATAAGTGGAATAAAAGTTTATAAATGAACTTTTAACAATAATGTTTTTTAAAAAATTTTTATTTATTTTTTTTAGTCATACATGACAGTAGAATGCATTTTGACATATAATACGTACATGGAATGTACATACATCAATCAAATTGTCTATTCTATTCTACTGCCCTTCCTATCCTCCCTACTCCTCCCCTCCTCTCCCATCCTTTCTCTCTATCCAATCTAATGTGACACACTTTTTTTTTTATTTTTCTCATTACATCATATATGTATTCTGTATAACAGTGAGGTTCTCCTTCCATCTTCTGTGTAACTCCCCTTCTCCCTCTTTTTCCCTCCCACCTCTCTTCCCTATTTAGTGGTAGTCTTCTTCTCATGCTCTTCCTCCCTATCCCATTTTGAGTCACCCCCCTTATATCAGAGAAGACATTCAGCATTTGTTTTCAGGGATTGGCTAACTTCACTTAGCATAATCTGCTCTAATGCCATCCATTTCCCTGCAAATGCCATGATTTTATTATTTTTTAGTGCTGAGTAATATTCCATTGTGTATAAATGCCACATTTTTTTAATCCATTCATCTATTGAAGGACATCTAGGTTGGTTCCACATTCTAGCTATTGTGAATTGTGCTGCTATAAACATTGATGTGGCTGTGTCCCTGTAGTATGCTCTTCTTAGGTCTTTTGGGTACTACTTGAAAATAGTTTGAAAAACCTGTTTGGTATCTTAAAATATTAAAGCTGTACCATTGCCGGGCGTGGTGGCACTCAGCATTTTGGGAGGCTGAGACAGGAGGCTCACGAGTTCAAAGCCAGCCTCATCATTGGCGAGGCTGTAAGCAACTCAGTGACCCTGTCTCTAAATTAAAGATACAAAATAGGGCTG